ATGTTGTCATTGTCCGTAGGTGGGAGACGGTCTCTGACTGTCGAACGCGGAGGTACCACCCAGCGGATTTCGTAGGCGGGGCCAGAATGTGTGCATGTTGCATGCACACGTGTTCCCTCGCCAGAGTCCGTGTGGCGTTTCCCCTGTATCCCCCTATAGCCCTACGGTACCCCATGGGTGTTTAGACTGTTTAGGCCTTAGGCCTTCGTGGTGGTTGGAGTATATAAAGATTTGACAAAAATACCAGTTATACTATTTTATGCAAGTTACACTCAGTATTTTCGACTATATTTGTTTGACTTGAGTACTGCAGTTACGACTGTGGTAGCCCAATTTCTATAAAGCCCTGTTTCGACTGCAATCACAAAAATACACCTTTTTTTATTGATTGCTCATCCACCACTATTTAATACAATCAGTTGTAATAATGTCACGCGATACTGACATATTAAGCAATACAGTGTAACTTTTGACATAATGAAGTGTTGAACATACATCAATCTATATTATAATCATGCAATTACTGTAATGCAGCAGTTGTAGGCTGGACCATGCTGGTTCTCTCATGAATAATCAATATGGAAAAATTATGAATATATAGAGTGCCGGCGCACACATGCACATATCGGTTATTATAGGATATATAAATCTAAATTGTAAATACCCCCACACCCCGCTCTAATAGACCTAAATCAAATTAAAATGGGTTCAATGTAATTGTATCAGGCGCTTATTCCATCAACTAGATTGTTATGTTTTATTGTTTATGGCGTTTTGAATTGTGACTTATGTTCTGTTTGATCCTTGCAGCTGTCTGCGTTATTGAAAAAAGAAAATTTATTATATATATATTTTTATTTCCATCCCCAGTGGTCAGTTCATTAAAACTAAATTCTTTACACTGAGGTAGTTTGGGACGTTGATTTAGAATATTATGTTAAAAAACTCTTGATTTCGAATTTAGAAAACACTATTTGGATTATAAAATAGTCCTTTTGGAGTCTCCCTTTAATCTCGAAAAAAAAATGGCGCGAAGTAGGTTGACTCTGTACTTCCCAAGCAGTTCTGGACAAAGACCGTAGAGTAGAATGAACATCACTGAAAATATTTTGAAATTGCTGAATTATAGGCTTTGAATGCGCATAATGAATTGTATCTGAATCCATTCCTACCTGCGCCCAATAAGTTTACTTCCGATTCTATCAAAAATATTGGAAAGGATAGTACATGATCAATTGAAAGAGTATTGCTCTGAGAATAACATAATTCCAAAAAACCAGTTTGGCTTCAAAGTAGGGAATAGCACTACCACTACCCTGCTTAAGGTGACTGATGATATTGTTGAGGCTTTGGATCGGGGTCAAGCAGCGGCTCTTGTACTGCTTGACTTCTCCAAGGCTTTTGACACTATCAATCATTCACTTTTAATCTCAAAATGCAAATATATTGGAATTTCTCAAGCATCTATCAAGTTCATTACTAGTTATCTCATGAATGTTATGCAAAGGGTACATTTGAACAACTCATAGTCGACATATAAGAATGTGATATCAGGGGCTCCTCAAGGCTCTGTTTTAGGACCGCTATTGTTCTCCATTTACATATCAGACATGTGTAAACTGATACGCTCCTCTGAAGTGATGATTTTTGCGGATGATACACAAATATGTAAAACTTTTGATCCAGATGACTGTGTAGCAGATGTTGACGAGTTGAATTGTGACTTAGCCACTATTGTTAGTTTTTCCAAGCATAGCTCCTTAACGCTAAATGCCTCTAAATCTAAAGCTGTTCTCTTTGCACCAAAAAACAAAATCATTAATATCAGAAATAATACGACAGTACGCATTAATGACACTTCTTTAGTTTATGAGGATCTTGCCAAAAATTTGGGTGTCTTACTTGACAAGGATTTACGTTTTCGTGAGCATATATCTAAGTTAGTAAGAAACTGCTTTGTCGTACTAAAAACATTGTTTGTTAATAAGCATTTCATCAATTTCAAATTGAAAAAACATCTTTGTGAAAACCTAGTTCTCTCAAAAATCAACTACTGCCTTATAGTTTTCTATCCTTACTTAGATCAAGTCTCAATTCGCAGCCTTCAACTGATTCAAAATTCGTGCTGTTGCCTCATCTACGGTTTAAGAAAATATGACCATGTTTCACACTGTATTCGTAGTTTAAAATGGTTAGATATTAATAGTTCTTACGAGTATTTTATCTTGAAGTTCATTCATAATTTGATTATCACGGGAACTCCCGAATATCTCTTAAAAAAAATTGTTTTCAGGCAATCTGTTAGAGATCGCATGCTCAGGTATGGCAAATTATTAGATATTCCACGGCACCGTACGGCTTTATTTACTCGCTCTTTTAGGTATAATTGTGTCAAATTGTATAACGTGCTACCTGATGCATTCAAAAATTTATCTCAAACTAAATTTAAAGTTCGTGTCAAGCAGCATTTGCTATCAAAAATGACTCTTAGTAGTAATTAAGTAGTAGTTTGTAGTTTAGATTAGTAACCGCCAGAAAAATTTTATTTGACGTGTTGCTGAATCTGTTTATATTTTCTATCTTATGTCTTGCAATATTTTTGTTTTCCTTGGGTTAGCCACAGTATATATATACATGTTAAATACATGTATTTACATTGGTTCACAACCATTAAAATAATAGGGTTAAGTGGAAGAGTAGCTATTTAGCTAAACTTCGCCCGATACTATGTAACTTTATAAATAAAGACGATTTATTATTATTATTATTATTATTATTATTATTATTTTCTTATGATCTGGGAGAAAAAGTATTTTGAGCTTAAATTTATTTTGAGATAATTGAGCACAACTTTCGTATGTCCAGGTATTATTATCTTGAGGAAAAGGTACTAAAATAAATGAGATTCTTCATTCCACAAAATGTCATCGTTTTCGCAGTCGTTATTTCTCACTTAAATAAGAACATCCATAATGTTGTTACCATATATGATTATTTATATTTAATAAACTATATTGGCCTGGTAGTCGCAATCGTTACATGGCTGGCTATCCAGGTAAAAAAAATTGTCGGGTAGATGTTCGCCCCAGAGCGTTGCAGAGTCTAGTGCACGTTATGTACAAAGTATTTCTATGATTCTAAGTCTGAAGAGCGAATATACGTGGTAATATATGTGTGAAATATGGCTAATAGGTGCGTAGAATTACTGGTCTAGAAGTTAAACATATACTACCGCCAAAAAATTGAGATACATCCTCCCTCCTACAGCATTTTTTAAAAATGATCAGGACCCTCTGGAATGAAAAAAAGATTTTGCGATTTTTATTTCTTTCATTAATGGCCTTTTTCTCCGTCGACACTAGACCGATTTGCAAAAACTACAAAGCTTTTCGTTATTGGTACTATGCCAACCTTATGCAACCTTATGTGAAATCAAAATCCGAGCAGTACTTTACAGGTTATGGACGGGCCAACGAGTAGCGGACAGACAGAGACAGACAGACAGTCAGACCGATGGAAATGAGTGACATGGTTATTCATGGTATACATGTCATTTAATATCTAAAAAACATAATATTATTATTTTCGAAATTTTACGCGATTACAATACGCCAGTAGACGTGTTAAGTAAAAATTGATAGATTCGTAACCAAATCAGCCGTACCTGATGCTAATGAATATTTAGGAATGAGCTTAAAGGGGCTTACGGATTTCTCAATTTATTAATTATCTTCATCATTTTTTAAGTAAGCACCGCTTCGTAATGGAGTCAGAGAAACGTAAAATGTACCACAAACTAATATATAAACATTTTTCGTTTTTAAACATAGTCACCATAAACATTTAAACATTCGCCAATTCGTGGCACTAGCTTTTGGATCCCCTCTCCAAAGAACGCTGGCGCATGATCGTTAAACAAGTTGGCAACTGTTTCTTCCAACATTCTATCATTTTCCAAGCGCTTTCCGCCAAGAAAGTCCTTAAGTTTTGAAAAAAGATGAAAGGCTGATGGTGCTGCATTAGGGCTGTTTGGTGGATGATCCAGTAATTCCTAACGAAACCTGTCCAGTTGCATTTTTGTTCTTGCCGCAACGTCAGGCTGCGCGTTGCCGTGAAGTAGAATGACGCTAGAGAGAAAGCCTCGCTGCCGGTTTTGAATAGCGCGCCCAGTAATATTTTACAGCACTTCCTAGCATTTATAGTACGACGAACTTTTTGCGGTTGAAAACTTCATAATCGGCGGGCTTATTGAGTTACATGGCGATAAACAAAGCAGTATAATCGCGCAACCAACATTGACAGAGACGTGAAACATAATAACGGCGTAGCGAAAAACTAGCCAAGAGTGTCCGAGGTAGAGTCTCATTACTCTTCTACAAAGTAATCATTTATTGTATTCGTTACTTTGATTACTATGAGTAGTATGACTATAAGGATTTAGCAATCGTGTAATTAATGTCGAATTTGAACAACTTCAATGGAACGACTATATTATGCTTTAGTTTGGTAAGTTGTATTGTAAGAAAATATACAATCTTAAAATTTACAAAAAAAAAACATTTATCATACTTTATGTAAATCTGTCATGCTTATTGCAAATATTATATCTTCAGATTTTATACAAATCGAGATGGCCTATTATAGGATAGGGCAGGGTTTCCCAACCTTTTTTTGTTGAAGCTCCCCGGACTATAAATTATATTTTCATGCCCCCCCTTTACTTTTTCAATAAATACAAAAAAAACGCTCATTATATAGGTACAAAGACTTTTATTCTCACATAAGTGATTTGAAGAAAAAGGAACTAGTATTCGTAAAGCAAGAGAGGCAAGTGTCGAATTAACAGGAAATCTTTTGATCCAAAATTTCTCCCAAGTTAAAAGATGGAAGTCATCTTTCATGGACGAATCAGCCTTTATTTCTAGAAATTCTTCCTGAACTTCTTCTGGTAATTGTGACACACCGACAACAAATGGATTTCTGGTCATGTGCCATGTTGGTGACTCTGAATTGATGTCTCGATGGTATGGGCGAAATTTGTCTTCCAGCGCTTGCAAATGAGTTTTTATGTCAGCTTTTAAATTTGCGTCCAGTATGTTATTTTTAATTGCTTCAAACAGCCGAGAAGAAGAGATAACATTTTCAGAAGACACTTTTTGATTCCAAAGTTAAAGCTTTGATATGAACCCCTGACTATAATCATAATTGTTTATTATAGTGTTGTTTCTGCCATGAAGTTTCAGGTTTAGCACATTCAAGGAGTAAAAATATGTCAGTTAAATAAGCCAACCTCCACTGATCTGTCATCTTTGAACATTGTCAAGAATTCGTGTTTTTCTTTGAACTCACGAAAAAGAATTACCTCTTCCTTCAATTCATAAAGGCCAGCCAACATGTTGCCTTTAGACAGCCAGCGTACTTCTGTATGGAACAGAAAAACTTTGTGATCAGAATCGAGATCCTCGCAAAGTAAAGTAAATAACTGAGTGTTCAAAGCGCTGCTCTTGATGTAATTTACAATTCTTATAGCCGAGTCCAAAGTCTGGCGTAATTTCTGTGACAATGTTTTGGAAGCCAAAGCGTGCCGATGAATAACAAACACAATGTGTACTAACCATTGCGGGTTTTTTTTCCTTGAGCTTTTTAGCTAAGCCCGATTGTACACCTATCATTGAAGGTGCGCCATCTGTGCAAAGTCCAATGAGTTTCTTCCATTCCAAATCATTTTTTTCAACAAAATTCGATATATCTTCAGATGTAGTACCTGCTGTCAAAGATTGGGAGTACAAATTCTCTTCTTGAATGATATCTCCGTCGATGTAACGAACATAAACTACTAACTGAGCACAATTAACGATGTCGGAGGATTCATCGCAACTAATGGCACAAAATGGCGATAATTTTACTTTGTTAATTATTTGTGACCTTATGTCTGCTGCAATGTCATCGATTCTACGCTTGAATGTGTTATTCGAAAGAGAAATAGACTTCATTTTTTGCTCTGCATCTTTTCCTAAAATTATCTGCGTGGTTTTTAGGACACATGGTTTTATTAATTCTTCACCGATAGAATGAGGTTTCTTTTGCTTTGCTATCATGAAAGCTATTTCAAATGAAGCTTTGAGAAGCTGCGATACACCTGTATGATAACTTCCCAATGTATCCAGTCTCATCCGCTTGAGTGATTCATCTTTAGAAGAGAAAACTCTTTCGTCTTCAAAACTAGAGCAGGATGTTGTTGCTTTAAATGCCTTTCAAGGCGATCGGGCCTTATGCTATCATTACTTGAAACTTTCATACATATCACACACTGAGGCAATTGTAACTCGTCTTTTCTATGAAGGTAAATCCAAACTTAACGTAATCTTCGGAAAACTTTCTTTTTTTTTGCTGCCATTTTGCACCTTTAACAATAAAACAAATAAGTAATAAATAAATGAGCAAAATACCTACATGTAATTACTAATTATATGCCCATTATTTTATCTTAATAACGTAATGTATTCAACAGTATATTGACCACCGGGAGATAGTTATATTATTGTAGGCAGGTTGGCGTTAAAATAGAAATTTTAAATACATTTGCAATCAATATTAGGTACTTAAAGTTGGTCGTTTCAAAATTATTTCGTTACGTTGGTTTGATTGTGATGTGGTAAAAAAGTCCCAATGGCCGATCTATGAACGCGTCTTCACTCAATCAACAATTTAGTAAATTAAATAAAAATGGTAACTGAAGTTTGTAAATACACAAAACTTACCTTTTAACAGTGAGGCACAATAATTTGACACAAACAGATTTATCAACAAAACATGTACATCGAAACGTCAAATGTTTCGCAAGCTTGTGGGAATGAAAGTCACAGATGCTCATCCGCGTCAGGTAGGTACACAATTGTTTTCTAAGTGATGAATGTTAAGCGGAGCGCGGCGGGGTGCGCGCGGATTTCATGTTGTGTCTTGTCGAAACTTATATAAACTGCGAATGACGACGCCGGGTTTTGAAACAGCGGTTAACAGAATAAGTGAATATGATATTTGATTTCTAATTTTATGCGTGTAAATTAAAAATTACATTGTAATGTTATTTGTTAATGTTGTTTGTTTATTTTTTTGGTTTTTTTCTTTCTAAAATGCAAACGCTTTCCGCCCCGCCCTTGACATCTCTCTATGCCCCCCTTCTGGTCTAGGGTGTCATATGACTTATATGTGATCTGAAAACAGTTAATTAATAATTACTAGAAATGCTTCAGAAGCAGTTAGAAAATTGATTTGTTTATGGGCTTGAGGAAATTCGGAATGGCAAGTAACTTTTCGAAGCTATGGGTAATTGGGCACGTCAATTGAGCATGTATCAGTATAAAAATTTTATGTGGAGCTTAGTCTACACATACCACCCGAATGTGGGATGTCTGGCAACCCTGATGCGGCAGTGCTACAGTGATGCCTAAGATGGGCAGAAATCAGCGTTGTTACTCAACGATTGTACGCGTACGGGTACGGAAAACTGAGAGTAATCAAAGTAATCATTTGGTGCTCGGATTGATACTAGGTACTTCAGGTATCTATGAGTAACGAGTACCTGGGTAACGCAATAGTTACTTTTTCTACACCTCTACTCGTGGGCCGCATTCTATCCATCTCAAGTCGCAAGCAAGGGCGTTGTAATTACAAACGCGACTTAATTACCAACTATAACTAACGTGGTATCCCTGATTTATCTCTTCTCACTCCCACGGTGTCAATACTTCGATGGTTAGCCTACACGCACGAAAGAGGCGGTTGAGAGACAGTCAGTGTGTATTGAAGAGATACCGATCGCTTGGTAACGGTACTCTAGATAATTGTAGGTGGGTGGACAAAGGCTTAGGTTATGGGAAAAATGGAGTCAAGTAGATTGGCTCTGTACTTCCCACGCCTAGTACAATTTTCCATGTAGTGCAATGGCATCAAAAAGACGTAGGTTTTGTCATAACTATTGTCATAACTATTTGATTTTTTTTGGCTCTCTGGTGTAAATCGTTTGTCAGCTGTGTTTGATGACGAATTGTAATAGCTTTTGATAACGTATACTTACACGCTATATACAGGTATCTGCGAAAGGTCGGGAAATCTTGAAACTGGAGATACTACAGACCAAAATATGTGAATTGACCTAAACATACCTTAGTCCAAAAGTTGATAGTTTGCCAGATACAGGGTGTCAAATTTCATTTTCTATTTCTCCTTACTGCTTGAGAAATATTTCAGATTTTGGCATAACACTTGGCATAGGGAGGTTTTCTAGTATGAGAAACAAGAATCGCTTATTTTTTATGGCCACACTTCTAGAGGGCGCCACTTACAGCACTATTTCGGTAAATAACTTATAACTTTTTTGTGCTACCCTGTAGACAACAACTGACCGAAAAATCTGATTTTATCGTATTTCCACAACAAAAAAGGTTTACTTGTTGGAAGTGTCTAAAGCTAATAGCTTTCGACATATTTGTCTTTAAAGATTGCAATCCATTATTTGTACCATGATGATAACATTTTTATAACATAATAATCAAGTTGCTTTGGATAATAGCTCAGTAGCGTTGCTATGGTTGCACGGCAACGGGTATCATGTAAAAAACCTATAAAACGTCAAAAAGAACCTATAAGATGTCAGCTTGCAGACTAGGTAGTTCTTATGGCGTAAACAGTCATTCCACGTTTGTTTACTAGGATCGTTGTGAACGTCCATCTATGGAGGAATCACTCAACTAAACTACGCATTATTGGTTGCATAGTTTTGTGAGGCTGAGTGATCCGGTCTGTTGTTTTTATCTCTGAGAAGAAAGTTGGTTTAATAGCAAGATCGCATCTGGATGATTATGTGTATTGGTCTGCATGTGTAGAAAATCAGTGATATTTGCTGTGTGAAAAAATCATTACTGAATATGCCAAATATGACGGGTTATATATATATGTTGTGCTTTCTGAAGAGAGGTTATGTTCAAAGTTATAAATTACGAAAAACTGAGGAGAATTACGGGAAATCATCACCGCGCCCGCGTTGTGTGTAATTACTGTTAGCATGTATATGGCTTGTAATTCGACAGTGTACAGTGAATATAATTATTTTTTATCTCTCTCATTTTTGAAATTCAGCAAATTTGCATTTTCCAGAATGGATAAGAAAAACTGGATGCACAACTAATTTCTAGCTTTGAATCTCAATTAAGTGTATTTGAGACAAGAACCCAATGTAATTATCATCAACACATACAACTTACAGCTTAGACCTCCAGTAATGCCATCTCAGAAGCAGATTTTGCATCACATCAAAGCCAAAGATTGATAACAAGCCTCCTGACGTTTAGGCAACACCTACAACTAAGTGCTAAGTTAAAATCTTGTAGAATGACCTACATAATGTCAAAAAAAACCAGCATAATGAACAAAAAATCGGCATAATGTCACTTTTCAAGATACGTGATACCCGTGCGGATTGGCAAGATCTAATGCTTAAAAGTACGAAGATTGTACGCTGACAGATTCCCTAATAGACACCTGCCTAATTCAAAGACTTCCAACGAATCGATCAGCGGTTACGAGAAACTGGTAAGACATGATTATAGCCTTATTTTGAGTAGTAAAAACCATTTGGATCTCCCAGAACTGTACATACGCTGAAGTTGAAGAAAATGTTTTAGAATGCTGTCTTTGAAAATCCTACAGTTGGAGTTAGGAATGTAGCTCGAGAATTTCAAGTTTCCAAATGTACAGTAAATATCATTTTTCAAGAGCAACTACTCCATCCATACAACCTGTAAAAAGTACATGGTTTAAGCGCGGATGATGACCCGCAAGGGTAATATTTTATACATGGCTCTTAAGGAAGTTTAACCACGACAATGGTTTTACTTCGTTAACATTATTTTCGGACGAAGCAGGATTTGGAAGAGATGGGCTCATTAACTCGCATAATCTTCACATTTATGCAGACGAGAATCCTCATGCAATAATACAAACCCGCCAAGTACAATTTCAAATTTATTTATGGGCAGGAATAATTGGACAATATTTAATAGGACCCGTTAAATTACCATCTAGACTAAATGGCCAAAGGTATTTACAATTTCTCGAAGAACAATTACCCACTCTGCTGGATGATCTTCCATTACACACACGCATGAATGTGTGGTTTATGCACGACGGCGCTCCACCTCATGTTAGTGTATTAGTTAGAGAGCACCTAAATAGAGTTTATCCAGACCAGTGGATAGGCCGATCAGGACCTGTATCGTGGCCGGATAGATCACCAGGTTTAAATCCTATGGATTTCTTCTTCTGGGGTGATTTAAAACGACGCGTTTACAATACGCCACTGGAAACTGTAGATGATCTAAGACAAAGAATTTTCCACCATAGCTAGGAAATGGAAAATAACTTTGGAGAGTGCAGCAAGAATTAGTTCGCCGAGCTCGAGAGTGTGTTAGGCAAGGTGGTGCATTTTGAACAATTTTTGTAGTTATTAGTTCCGTTTATTAGTTTTGTTGTCATCCTCATTTGTTATTGTTGAAAACCATAGCAATGCTACTCAGATATTATCCAAAGCAACTTGATTATTATGTTATAAAATTGTTTTATCATCATGGTAGAACTGATGCATTGGAACTTTTAAATACAAATATCTCGAAAACTATTAGCTTCCCCTATACCTAGCTTTATGCCAAAATCTGAAATACTTCTCAACCAATAAGAAAGAATAGAAAATAAAATTGTAACTTTGACACCCTGTATCTCGTAAACTATCAACTTTTGGACAGGGATATGTTTAGGTCAATTCACATATTTTGGCCTGTAGTATCACCAGTTTCCAGATTTCCCAACCTTTCGTATACTGTACTTCATAGTACCTCGCAAAATCTCGTCACTGCGACTTCTGCTACCTGCTTTTACAACCCCGTATGGGATCCGACTGCTAGAAATATTTAAGGGAAAATATTCGCGTAAATCTATGCTAGTCAAACATGCCCATACAATCAATCCATAGAAATGTTGCCTGCTCTACCGACAGTGCACCGGCCATGTGGCAAGTTGAGTCACACTGCCGTTCGCCGCAGTCATTCAGCCAGTCGCGGCTCGAGGCAGACCACAGTTATCGTAGAGTATAAACTCAGCGCAGATGTAGCCAGAAGCCAGACATGTGCATTTGTCTTATAAAAGTTTCGAGGGCAAATGTACTAGAAAATCTATGAGATGTGTGAAGTATGTATAATAGGTACTAGAATGAAGAATTTTTCTATTTTTTGAAACACTAGATAGTCTAAGTAAATTCAAGTACATCACTGAAAAAATTGTTTGAATACCTTAGAAAATGACAAAGTTACGCTACCCAGAAGTTTATTATTTGAAGAACTATCTTGTTGGAGCATGAGACTGAGTGATGGCGTCACAGGACACCAGCTACCAAGGCTAACATAACACAAACATAAAACATACGTGGCTCTACAACATATTTACTCAGTCTATACTGTATTGTACTTAGGTGTATAAATACAGACATACCAGCTTCTGAAAAACTTGTTTACCTGTGCCAAATCATATGAGAATTAGAAGGTGGTGCAGGTAATTAATAGGGACGATAAAATGTCCTCTTTCTATCATTGTACTGCTGTAAATATAATTTTGATGTTACTACGTATTTAGTTAATATGATAAAAATGATCAAAAGAAATACTAGTGCATGTACCCATTATGATGAATAAATAACTTAATTGATGTAAAGAAGTTAAAGGGGAACTTTTAGA